TTTATTTTTATTTATTTAACTGTTATGATATCGTATAACATTAAACGTTTACAATTAGTTCACATTTATTTTTGCTATTGAATGATTTATTTCTAAAGTTCGTCATTCACAACTGAACACCGGTTATTTAAATTTCTAAGGACAATGTAAGTTTTATTTTTGTTTGATACATTATTCATAAGGTTTCATATTAAACGCGCATTTAAATTATTGAACTTTGTTTCTGTAAAATCGATAAAACGCTGACAAATAAAAATAATATAATCGTTTTTTTTTTAAATTGTATATATAAGAGTCCTCGTCGTGATCTTTACAACACAAAATATATAGTCAACACAGAAGCTTCCCAAAAGCCAGTTTAATCTTCAGTGATCTCTTCTCGCACGAAGTACCGTCAACTAAAGGTTCTCGATACATCCCTTTGGTAACTAGAAGGATTTGCTAGCAATTTCATCAGGTCCCAACATTTCATCCCTTAATCCTGATTACCGCTTATTGATCAAAGCTGAAAACTTAGCTAACGATAGATAATAATTTATAGATTATATATAAAGATAATCACGTATACACACACACAAAAATTTGAATTAATTAATTATATTTTTAAAAAAACATTTAATTATGTAAACTGTAAATGACCCCATAAAAAGAAATCAAGGGGTGACAAATCAGGGACATTCATGATAGCCAACAAGAGGACCCTAATTGTTCAACCAATGTTCTCGAAACTTTAACACTACTAGTTTGTACTAAGTTATCTTAAAAGACATTTATCAAATTTTAATATCAAATTATTCTCTAAGTTTAATTATTTTTCCGTCAACAACAAATTTTTTTCACTTTTCATAAAATAGTTGCTAAATTAATTAAATGATATTATTTTCCTCCAACTTGTCCTGGATTTAAAAAGACACCTTTTGATCGAAATTAGGTATACACAAGATAGAAGAAGAAATAGTATTAGGTTTAAACAATTCCGAATGATTCGAGCATTATGAATTAACTAATCAGTTTTGTTGTAAATAAATAACACTATTATATAACATTATTATATATGTATTATTAACATTATTATATAATGTTATATAATACTATTATAACACTATTATATAATTATTATATATTATATAATAACACATCCGTCGCGTTGTAATCCTCTTGATATGTGTTATAATACTATTAAGTCAAAAAAAAAAGTACAAAGTTCCATTTAAGGAGTATTCTGGTCTAGAGGCATGAATTTTAGGTACTCTTTCAAGTGTAATAACAAAAAGACGAACAATATTTTCACTATCTATAATGTTACAAGATATTTATTAATATTTCGAGAATACGTGGACAAAAAAATTAGTGAAAAAATTCAAAATTGAAAAAGATATAGGCTGATGAAGTGGGGCATAAACGTCATCTTTATTATTTATAAACAAAAATTTCTTTTCTGAAAATTCATTTCGTAGCATTTTATATTCTACTAGAAAACTATTTAATTTAGTTAGAAATATTTATTTATCAAGCTACCGAAAATGCAAGGTACAAAAATCGTGAAAAGTGTTACGTAAGCAACCTTTACATATATATACATATGTAAATATATACAATATGTATGTATAATATACAAGCGTAAAACTAAAATGAGGTCAAAGATCGTACACACTCTACTAGAATATTTGAGAATATCAGTCCGATATGTTGTCTTTGTTTTGTTCGTAGACAGAATGAACAAGTGAGAAAGAGAGGAAGATAGTTAAGGGACAATACATAGGTAGCTACGAAACCGGCCATTCGTTATCTTCCATTTACGGTCGTATAAAGTAACAACGTAGGAGAGAAAGAGAAAGAGAAAGAGAGAGAAAGAGAGCTATTTTCAGGTTAGATGCACGTAACACCAGACAAAAGCATAGGTAGTAACGTGAAGGGCTAAACATACTAACGAATATAATGAACGTATGGAATCGTGTCGTGTCTTGTGATAATACCATCTCTTTTTCACTTTTCTTTCTCTCTCTCTCTCTCTCTCTCCCTCTCTCTCTCTCCCCTCTCTCTCTCCCTCTCTCTCTCTCTCTAATTTTGTCTTTCTCTCTCTTTTTCTTTTCCTTTCTTTTTATATCATTTGTACGACATTTATGCTCGTGTTATTCGAGACGATGGAGGGAAAAACCATGAAAGATATTCTCGAGAGACGAAGGACGATTCGTTTAACGAGCACACAAAGTGTTCAGATATAGTTTCTTTTTTATGCATTAATGTAATTTTGTCATCGTTACAACGTATATTACATTCAACAGGTAAGTCCTTACTTCTCTATAATATCTCCATTTTGATACTTAAGGGTTCATTCTGGTTTCTACGCCGAGAAAAAAGGCTATTTTCACGATTTTTTTTTAGGCTTAGTAGGATACATATACATATGAAAGTTGTTGGGTATGATAAATACACTCTAGAAGTACAAGAAAAAAATTTTTTTGTATTGTTTTTAACGTTTTTTGACATCCAAAATGGCTGACAAACGTGAACCCGTCAAAAAAAGGTATGCTGTTGGCGGGCATCGAAATTTGAGAACGGGTGGTCTAAAACAAAAAAATTAAACGGTTTTAAATTTAGTATGACAATGGCTATCGGGTATGCTAAAACTATCAATTTTTATGAAAGCAAAACAAAATGACAGCCATTTTTCGAAAAAAAAAAAAATCTTTGATTTTTTTCGCAGTTTTTTGTAAAAAAAAAATAGTAAAAATTAATATTTTGACTTGGTT